TAAATTTTTTTTTTTTTTTTTTTTTCTGTATCATTTTAATTTAGCATTCAATTTAAATTTTTTGTCATTAGGAATGAACTTAACCATAATAAAATAATCTTGTGAGTTGTGACAAACCACAACAAATACACTAACTTCACAGCTTGAGTATATGTAAATTGTTCAAGGTAATAAACTACATACACTGAATTTATAGTTATATCAACTTGTCATGAACAGTTTTAAGTCAATATCATTTCATGAGGGGTTTGTAGGTGGGTGGCTTTTTTATTTTTTAACTCCCCCCCCGGGGGAAGTTGAGGTTGGGGAGAGAGGAGCCAAAACAACAATGGGTTATGTGTCAATGACATACATTAGACTTAGTGAAACTGGATAGAACCATATGCGGTAACTGACCTTGCATATTGGTCGATGTGGATCACGTAGATTAACCAATAAATTATCACTTTTCAAGTCAAAATGCACTATATTCTTTCCATGCAAGTATTCCATTCCAAAAGCAACGTCCATGGTGATCATAAGCCTCTTTCGCTTATCAAGATTCCTTGAAAGAAAGAATAAGTATAAATATCATGTTAGACATGGATGGAAGACTTCTGACATGCTGGAGGATGCCAAATAAACAAAGCTAATCTGTAGATATAACAAAAAAATCATTCAAGCCAACCCCGTAAAGGGCATTACCTCTCGCTCTTCTGCAAAGCATTTCTCAAAGAGCCGTTAACCATGTATTCAGTAACAGTTGCAATTGAACCACTGGGACCATCAAGCACAACACCATAGAAAGCAACCACATTGGGATGATGCAAGTCAGCAAGCTTGATTGCCTCATTCCAGAAATCATCTCTCTGGTTATTCATATGAATGAATAATTAAAGCATAATACATTTGAGGATTAAGAATATTAGCTGTCCAATGTGTAGGGGCACTGACCATGCGTTCTTGTTCCGATGGTTTCCCAGCAAAACATCTATCATTTATTCGCTTGATTGCAACATCGGTGCCTCTCCACTCACCATGATAAACAGTGCCAAAGGTACCAGAACCAAGTTCACGTAGCTCTTCCAAGTCACTATTTTTAATTATCTACCCACCAAGAATAAAAAAGAAGTGAGAGGAAAATTATAAGGTAATGAAGAAATATAGGACAAACTACCTCAAACCTGTAATTGGCCAATGCTGTCTACAGGAAATCCAAAATTTATCTTCTTTGGGAATTTAGACTTGATATCCTATATCAAATAATTGAGAACATGTATCAAACAAAAATAATGAAAAATTGAAAAATGTAATAGATACTTGCACATATAAACTTATGCGTGTGATAGAAGAATGAATTACGAACCTCATATTTCTCTCCACGCTCCATTTCTGTATTAGTATTTTGATCTTCACCACTTTGTAGAGTTGTAGGTAGAAACTCACTCCTAGCATCTGATAGGTCAGAATTAGAAGGCATGGACGAATGAAGAACAGAAGCGGCAACTCCCTCGGCAACAGTTTGAAGTTCTTGCTTAATGAGGTCCTCTTCTGACCCTTTATAATAAGAGCAAAATCAACAAATAACCAAACAATTAAAAGAGTGTGATTTTCTGCATCAAAATGAAGAATCTAACAGTTCTTACCTTTATCAGATACAACATCCTCAGATCTTAAACCACCACTCAAATTTCCAGATGACAGGTATGCTCCATCCTCCAATGGTACCTCTATGTTCAACTCCTTGCAATTGCCTGTTTGTAACTCACCATTAACAGGATGACTGTCACGAGGAGCATCCCTAGTCCCTCCAGCTTCCCTTCTTATTTGAATTTTGCTAGGTATAGGAGGAAAATGAGTATCATGACGTAAAATCCAAGGATCCAGGTTGCTGAATAGTGAGTTTGAGTTATCTGGCATAGCTGCAACCCCATAGGATGGATCTACAGATGATTGTCTCTTTCCCTCTGGGACAACAGATTCTAAGTCAGCAGGAATCCTTAGTTGAGACCATAGAGTGTCATCTTTCCATTTATTAGTAGGTGGAATTATTTCAGTTGGATGAGCAGATTCCACACCAGAGTTGCCAGCAGAAATTTCATCAGAAGCCAAATTATTAACCCCAAGCTTTAAGCGAAGGTAAGAATTGGGATTACCTAAAAGAGGAGGTTTGGTCAATTCATAAGATTCTGCTGGAAGAAAATTATGCATTTTGGGACCCTCCCTCCCAGCAACTTGTGGTAATCCGTTCTCCAATATGTCTTCCTTTTTGGGATCAAAAACTGGCTTGCCCGGCTCATTATTAGCTAGAACTTCAGAAGGGCACATCTGAAGATTTTCCAATCGTTTATCTATTTGTCTCAGCTGGTTAAAGGCCAAGGAAGTCGAATCTTCTCTAGGAATGGTGCCAGCAACTTTACCAGAGTAGTCTTTCGAGGGTTCACGAGAAACGTAATCAGAAGTCTGTAAAAGCATGCCTCCAACAGAAGCTAGATCATTGTTAACTGGTCTGTTCATTGTGGAACCCTCTATAACCTGGTATTGAGGTGAAACAAGCTGCTGGACAGAATCTTGATACGTCTGAGGGGTATTCGCCCCAAATACACCATGTGAAGATTGTGCACTGCTTGTCATCATGAAACCCTGCGGAGTTGACACCTCGAAATGTTCAGGATTCTGTGCCTTCTGAAGAATAGTTTTATCATTTGCAGAAGGTCCCTCAGGATTCTGGGAGACCCCAATTCTATCTGCTTGGACTTTTCCAGCTTCATGGTCCACATAACCCATAATTCTTGGTAGAGCTCCAGCTGCCAGTTGTTCAGAAACACTTTCTGTTTGAGTACCAGATAATAAAGGCCTGATCATCAGCTGCCCTTTATCATCCAACCGGAGACTATGATAAATTGTTCTCGAGTCAGAAAAGGTGCTTGCAGGACTTCCCTTTTGGTCCTGAGCTATTGAATCCGAATGAGCATGTGGTAATGCTTTTTGGCACATGTAACAGTCATCAAGTTTTGGAATTTCCTTAGAAACCACAATTTGTTGAGAGGGCAACCCTGGTTCTGAAAAGACTACGGGCTCAAGACGTGGGACTTGATGCCAACCATGCACTCCTAGTGGCACTGTTGCAGGCACCTGAGCGTACCGCACACTATATCCTTGGTCTGTAGGAACCTGGACAACCCTCTGCGGCAGCATGCTTTCTGCAGGATAATGCTCCAAACGAACTTGTTCTGGCTGAATAATTGATGGAACTGTATTAGATTTCATACTCACAAATGAAGGATTCATTGTCATATTTAATGCAGGAATAAACTGCTGAGGAGAAGCTCCAGCTGGCAACTGCTGTTGGGTGAACACAGGCCCAATTGCACTGTAAATGTTTGCGGGGAATCCCATCTGAGAAAGGAGTTGCACATAATCAGCATGATTCAAGGTTTCATGGCGAGGATCCACATAAGCCTGAACATGAGATGAAGATGCTGGGAAAGTCACTCCAGGTTGCTGAAAACCAAATCCCATCTGTGGCTTTGGGACATTAAGAGGCACATATCTCTCTAACTCTTGTTCAGAGACA